TGGATAAAAGTGCAACAAAATTAAGGAATATTCTTATCTTGGATAGGATAGATATTTATATCAAATAATAGAAATTACACTCATATATTATTAAAAGTGGATATCAACAAGTGCTAGTAATCCTCGTCTCCACCAGAGTATAGCCACTAAGTCCTAGAGAGGCGCAAAACAAAAAGTCAGTGGGCAAAAAGAACAGATTTCTAAAACCTTTTGTTAATCTGATCATAGTAACCACTCACTATAGAATCCATATAGTTTCCAAAATCATATTATGTATAAGCATGAAAAACTAAAGTACTTAATGAAATAACAATATTCTTAAGCATACAGGTACATCATACATATCTTAACAATTATAATATAAAATAATAGGTTGTGCTTATAAAAATTGTAGGCACATGATTTCATGTAGAAAGTAGCTACATAACAGGCTAGGTGCATAAATTTACGCTCTAGTACTACATACATATGAAGTTATCACTCAGTGCACACATACTTGTCCTAGTTGCCTAACGCAAACTAGTACATGCCATCACCTACAATGGATCCAATGTCTAATGTGATCATAATAGTGCAAGTGAACATACACATTGGAACAAATTCACGCACATCCGCGAACGGAGGTAAGAACCAGTCAAGCTTGTCCTTGATCTTCGGCAATGGGAGAACAAGTCGACTGGAGGGTATGGTTGAATCCAAATAGGATTGCCTACATATCTCCGGAATGGTGAATCAAACCACGAGTGTAGTTGTAAGGAAGTATGGTGTGAATCATCCTTAACGAATAGCCTATGAAGAGGCATTACGGAGATGAGTTCTCCATGGACGCATTTGCATGTAAACAGCTGCTTTAGGGCCTCTATTAGGCATAGAGTGATTATGTGTAGTAGTCTTGTACAAAATATGAGGAAAGTAATAACCCCTCTAATAAATACCTATGCTAGAGTGCTTATAGCGATCTCGAGAATCCTTGTAAAGAAAGTAGTCCCCATTAAATCAGGAGACTATCTAGGATCATGATTACGCTGCCTAATTCCCAAATATCTTATTTTGACTTGAATTAGAGTCTCCTTACTTGGAAGACAAGTAATATCTTCAATGGGTATAAAGCCTAGCTTGTCGAATGAAGCTTCATGGGTTATGGGCATTCTGATCCTTTTTGCCATGTGTCATGGGCCTGAAAATCATGGTCCCACAAGTGTGAAGTTGGTTTTGGCCCTAGATAGTACTATAGACACCGTACAAACATACATGATAAGTAGATAAAGTATAAGTACAATCATGCCATAGTTAGATTCACAAAACTCATAAATCACAACACCAATAGTATGTACCACATTTTGTATTTTTAAGTAAAAGTCATGGCATGATATACGAGTATTCATAAAACAGTTATCGAAATCATGCAACATAAATATAGTCTGAAACAAAAGCCCAATCACTGATACGTCGTAAGGTCGTAGATGCTTTACCTCGTCTGTCCTCTGAAATTCTAGAGATAAGTCTCTCTTATATGAGAAACCACTATATTAATCATTAAAATTGTCAACTAAAAAAACTAAGGAAAAATACTCGAATATTTCTTTTTTAATGGGTTTTCAATGTTAAAAGCATTTAAAAAGGGACTCGTCACACGCCGCCACACACTGACACGCACCGGTGGTGGAATATTTCGTCGATGTTGGCCAAAACCTTCTAGATTTCGTTCACTGAACATAATATTCTGTCGACATCAAAGAATATTGAGGGGAAGGAATATACCTTCAGTTAATAAAATATGTCAAGGCCGTTACATAATATTTCGTCACATGGAACGTTCCATCATCTTTTTCCTTTCAATTGACACCGAAGCCATCCGTCGACGAAGTTTCACAGGTATCTGGGTCTTTCACCAGATTTTTTCACAGAATTAGAAAAACTTAAAACTAAACCATGTTTTCCATACACTAGGTCAAAATGAAGCTTGGAAGGAGGGGAACTCGATTTTACCTATTGTAAGTTTAAAAATTTGACGGAAATGGCTTGAAAGTCGCGGCTCGTAATAGAGGTTTCTGGGTTCCTTCGAATCTGAGGCAGATTCGAGCATGCAAAGCTCAAATCTTGCTCTAGGGACAATGATGAATATATTGGTAGTGGTAGCCTCACCCAACTTGATGAAATTAGGCCGGTAACCTCGCCCAACTATTAGGGTTTTGTTCGAATTCCTCAAATATGAATTAGACATTTGCGTGCAAAGAGTCTAAGATGTACTTGAGATGATGAGAAATCAATTGAAGACCACCACTAGGTTGGTCATTGTCGGAATTGTAGGAAAATTCAAATTCACATCAAAGCTCCTTGGTTTGACGGTTTGAGGCCAAATTTGAGGATTTTGTTGGTGGCTTTAGATTCAAGGCGTGTTGAGGATGATAAAGGTGGCGTTTGAAGGTTCCAACTCCAATAGAATCTCGCCGAGCAAAGTTGCAGATAGAAGAAAGTCTAGACATGAGAGCGAGAGGTCGGGGAGATGAGAGAGAAGGGAGAAAAATAAAGAGAAATGAATTAGGTTTTTGATATGGGGTAAGTTCCCTTCCAAGGAACACCAAGTTAAACAGGGCGTTAACCCTAACTAGAAAACACTAACTAAATGTCTACTTGCAGTTTGGAAGATTCCAACAACCCATTATTTGTGGTACCAAATTATTAAAATGCCATTTTCCTTGAAATGTGCATAACTTGTGAAATTGATACCGGGTAGAATATCCTGTAATTTAAAATTCAATTTTTGTTTGACTAACTAGTCAACGCCTCCGGTCAATTAAGATCAGAATCAAAAGCAAGAATAAATAATTATACTTGGTTTACTAACGTGGTCCTAGTTAACTAAGGTCCAATTCAGTACACATTTATACTCTGATAAACTTAGTTGAAAACACATATCGATTTGCAAACCCTATAGACCATATATCCCAAGCAAGTGAACGAGATATGTCTACAAGAGAAGCAATAAACAACACAAAGAGTTTTGGCTGGAAAAACCCACCTTTAGGTTAAAAAATCAAGGAGCCTTCACTGCATATAATCCATTAATGCAAATAAGGTTCTTACAAAGTACCACACAAAACTCAATTCCTAGGGTATCTATGGATTAGCTTTACCTTTGTGCAACCTTACTTTGCACAAGATGAGGATCCCTTTGGTCTTCACAAGGAGGCAGCCCCTACCGTAAACTCTTCTCTAGCACCAAAAACCAACTCAACCAATGCAAGTGAGATGATAATGATGGTTAAGTGAAATCTGGATTCAATGACCAGTCAGTTACTTCAGACAAATGGTTGAAAAAAGAAACTAGTGTGAATCGAAAAACTTGGTCTTAAATGAAGATTTGAAACTTAATGCTAAACCATGAAAACAATGAAACGTACTTCTCACTGATTGGGTGTTTAATGCATGAAGAAGGTTTGGCAGCTAGGGTTTCATAAATGATAAGGAAGCAAGCTCTAAAGCTTTTAAGCACTCTCTCTCTCTCAAATGGAATCTGGAAAACCCCAAGGAAAATCAAAACCTAACTAAAGTCTTATGCAAAAGGGATGTTTCTTTTCAGCTAGTCAAGAGAAGGACGCTTGTCTAGCCAAAAAGTGACGTGACAACTAAACTAGTCAGAATGTAACATAAATTTAGACGTGAAGTACATATGCATGAACAAACCTTTGAGATGATGTGCCATAGCCTTGAACACTTATTCCATCAATGGAAGCCCATAATCAGAGTAGCTTAAAACTGGTTTGAGTATGTGTGGTACAATTACAATATTGACAAAGAAAGCCAAAACACTTAAGTCTAGACTTCACAACCAATTGGTTATATGTTCAATATTAGTCCCGTTTGTGCTCACACATTCATGTTGATAGGTAATATTCAATAACACAAGAAAAGAGATAAATATGAAATGATCTTAGATGTCCACATAGAATTCTCACTTAGCCCGTCAGAGTATCTTCATAATTTCACAACTTCAGGGAATAAAGTATAATAAAATTAGAGATGGCATTTTTTCCCTCTAATATTTCATGTGTTGATAAAATCAGTATTCATGTAGTTATGTTTTTTGTTTGTTTTTTTATTGATTATTATAATCAAGTTGATTAGTCAATGTGCTCCCCTTCTTTGCGTAGTTTGAATCTTTCTTTCTTTATTTTATAATTTTTATATTATAATATACTCGAATGAAAAGAGAAAAAATAAAATCAGGATTCGGCAATCTAATTTCAAATGAGAATGGGCTTTTAAAATTTGAGAAAGGCCTCACCCAATAAGACAATCAGACACATTTGAAACTAAAAAACTCCGACAGTGGCCTCAAATTAGACAAAAAGTTTACACTGTTTACACTCAACTTATCACCCGTATCCCTTTTTCTTCATATAGTCGGGACTCGGAAGTTTCTTTTGCACTCTCTGCTTGTTTCTGTCCGTCAAATTCTCCTTTAATTTATTCAATCCAAAGTCTAAAAAAAGTATGGAATGTGAGAAAGAAGAAAGGGGAGCGGAAAAATCATTTTCCATTTCTTATCACAAACACAACCAGCTAACGGTTGATCGCAGGTTGAGCAGACGTCTCGAGGGGCCAAGCATGAAGTGCTTGAGACAAAAGAGGCAATGAACACCATTGTAGACGAGCTGCACGCTACGCATCTCACTTCATGGACCTTTTTATTTAGGAGTTGTATGATTAAGGTACAGCGACAAGACGGTTCCAATATCGGGTTTTTGGTTCGAGAAATAAGCATCGGCTCAAACGTGACCAAACATAAATAAATGGAAACGAAAGAAGACCAGGATCTGAATAAACGTGTTTTAATTCACCTTGCTGGCCATCTTTCCAGTTCTAGTAGTCAAATTTCTTGTTCAGTAACACTATCATGTCAAAGATGATGCATTTGGTCAAGTCATGAAAAATGTAACAAGAAATGCAACTTATCCGACCCTAATTACGACTGAAATTCATGCGGCAAATAGTGGTAAATACTAAATACTAGTCCAATAGCAAAGAATAATACTCCTACAGAACGTAACAATGATGACGGGTACAAAAGTGGGAATACTCCCCATATAAAGAACGAACAAATAGTAAGATCTTTCGGTTACCTGTACCTTTAATTCCTTCCCTCAAAGATCATGGAGGAAGAATGAGACTACTGTATCTGATGATTTACAGGCCTTTGATTTGCTGGCCAGAAAGTGTACAAAAAGTTAACCGGCAAAATCAGTATTTGATCACATGGTGGCGCAACCAGAGATCGTACATGACCATGTGAAATGCATCATATTTCACAGGCGGTGAATTCCACTGGAAGTGCTGCTGGACCTGATAGAAAAATCACGACATGAAAAGAAATTCTTAGTTACCTACGATTAAAAACAAGTGTTCCCAACACACACATACAAGACATCAATGGAAATACATTTATCACATAAAATGAAGTGTGCAAAAGCATATACCTTAACCAAGTTTTTGTGAAGCGTAAGAAACTCTGAATAGGGTATGTCCTTAAGAATTTGTTTGAGTTGATACACATCCTTCTCCCTAAGGATGACAGCAAATTTTCGCCAATCGAGAATGTCATTGAATGGCAGGTCATAGTAATTTGATAATATCACTGCAAGAAATCAAACCAAACAGTTGACAAACGATTAAGAGGACTTTTAATAGTATACCTTACATTCAAGCTAAAAGAAAAAGGATACACTAAGATAGGGAATTGCAATTTAATATTTTAAAAAGCTAATCACTATTGCCTCAAGCTTCTGTCCATATGTAAAACATCAGTCATTTAAAGTGGCACGGTGAACATAGACTTGAGGAATGCATCCATTGAATAAAAATGAAAACAATTAGAAAGTTATAGGCACAAAAAGAAGGAGAAGATGTAGACAGAGACTGATTTAGCCTGAATTCTTTGTTCATAATAAAAAAGATTTTGAAGAAGAAACGCTGCAAAATGATAAACAAACTCCTTACGTGAAGGCAATCTTTCTGATCCCCTTAGCATGGATAAAGGTGTCTGTTTGCTTATATTACGGCTCTAAATTTCTCTCTTTTTTCTTAAGTATTATGGTTATATGGTTTGACCATCAGCATTTCCAATTCAAGCCAAGAATAGATGATAATACCATCAAATAACTCTCACTGCAATTTTGAAGAAACAAGAAGATTTGAATTATTACCAGGAATACATCCGTAATGGATTGAGTCAGTTGGACGAGCGCTGTTGACCTGGGAGCCACCTGGGCATATGCAGAATTTTGTTTCATAAAACTTCTTTTGATATAACAAATTCCCCTCTGCCCTATTTATTCTGTTGTTCAATATGTAAAGCTCTGTGTCGTTCTCCCATACACGTGCCAGTATAACTCTAATTTTGGAATTTCGATGACCGGCCCAAAAACCGAGGGTTGTCCTGCAAAGCATGCCTCCTATTAATTAATGAACTTGTGTATTAGGCTCAATCTAGTGGCAATAAAGTTATAACACCCTCCCATCTGGACATGAGTCAACTTATGAAACATATCATACGATAGGTCTACAGCCATGAGTATGGAAATTAATCCAAAAAGAAGTAACAACATAGTGCTTGTGTAAGTCAATAAGCGCATAACAAAGCATATATATATATAAAATAAATGCATGTCCTTCTATATTACCTGTTCTCCACATCGTTTCCTCCGGCTGGAAGAGCAAATGGCTGGAGTACTTGAGGAAGGGCTACATCTTTGTGCGGAATGAAACCAACATCATAGCTAGGGGAGCACACAACTCGAATCGAGTTTTTCACAAGAAGTGGAAGTCCTTCAGTTGCCCTCACCCCAACATCATGACACGTGACAAAGAAGTGGTCCGCGCCCAAGGTTCTGTTCCAGTAAGGATACTTGGATATCAAGCTCTCCACATAGTCCCGAACGATTATGGTCATGTTGTCATAAGATGTACCCTGCATAATCATTATAAACAGACAAAGGAAAAATCTTCAGTAACCATTTATTAGTATCTATCTCCTGAATGCTGCAATTAGGAATTACCATGCCTATTCGAGATGAAACAAACAGATTCAGAAATAACGCAACTCTTCAAATAATTTCGCATTTGCAGATACATTTTGCATGTCTTAGTACATAACCCGAAACAACCAAATACTTGAATGCATTAAAGATAGAATCTACCCAAACCAATAAAACCAGATGAAACAAATGCAACTCAGCCACAAATAAAGGCATGTTGACTACAAAGCACAATCTAAAGTCTCACTTCCCCTGCCAAACACGAATCACAACTAGAACCGAAAGCCAAATCACAACATCCCGAGTTGCAATGGCTATAGTAATATGCCCCTTTTAGTACTGAAAAACTAATAACTTATCCAAAAGCATGCCAAACAATGAAACTATCAGACTTCTCAGATCCACAGCAACAAGGAAAATCACGATATATAGCAGCTCTACTTTCCCCCCAATTTTCTCAGCAACCAAACAGTCCCAAACAAAAAACAAAGGGAATCCGGATCATAGAGTGAAACAATACCTTGCCTCGCATCTTGTGGCAGGAGATTGGGATGAAGAAGAGGTGAGCCTGATCCGGATCGTCGGTTCGGAAGTGACTCTCTCTGATATTCTGAAAGAAATAACCCTCGCTGGCGTACTTGCCAGTGACCTTCCTCGGCGTCTGGTAAAATGTGTTCGGATCGCCGTCCGGGTATATGTACACCTTGAATTTGGCTTCCATCTCGGCGAAATTCAACCGGAACACCTCCGGCGAGTGGTAGATGTCAGAGAACTGCTCATCGTCGGCGGCGGATGAGGAGGAGGAAATGTAAGTGGTGGCGGTGGCGGGCGAGGGGGAGGAGGGATGGAGAGAATGGAGGGAGAAGTAGGTGAAGGAGAGCAAGGTGAGGATGGCGAGAGTTAGGAGAGATCCTTGTAAAGAGCTCAACATCGGAGGAGACGACGACGGCGACTGTGATTGCGACTGCGATTGCGATTGGAATTGGAACTGCTTTTGTTTGCCCACACTCATCTGCTCTTGCTAAGCTATGTACGCTTCGCTCTCTCGCTGCTTGCTTTGATTTGGAATTTTGGAGCTGTAAAAATCAGGAGGTGATTCTGAATAAAATATTAAAGTATTTAGAAAAGTAAAGAACGAAAGAAGAAAAAAAGAAGTTAAACTTTAGTTTCTATTTTATGGTGTGTTACTCATGGTTTTTGTTTTTTTAGAGAGCTAACGAAATTTAAAATCACGCCGTATTACTTATGTTTTCACTCTTATCATTTGTAACAGAGTTTAATTACAATATCATTTTAAGCCAAATTAAACCTTAAATTTGCTTGTTTAAAAAAAGTTGGCTCGGTACCAGAGTGAAAAACATTTGTTCACGTCATCATTTTAATATAATGACCTAACATGTCTAATTTTTAAATTTTAGGTATGGTTAGTAAAATACGAAACAGTTATAGTATCCAAAAAAATACACACATGTATTATTCAGCATTTGTGCTAAAGTAGTACTTCAAAAAATTCAGCCATTTTTCAAATTAAATTTTTTTTTTCTTTCAAATATATGTTTAATATTCAAGTACAATGCGTGAATTTTATTGGTATTATTGAAAAATATTTTAAAATACGTGTTTTCAATGTAAAACGTATGTAGGTATGTGTATGATACGTATCATATGTAGGAATTTTAAAAAACATGCCATTTTACGAATTATAAATATGTGTATGAAAAAACAAAATTTTAAAAAATATGTATGTATGTATATATTAAGAATATTATGCGCAAATATAGTATTTATAATATTTGAATTACACCAATTTAAAATCACCTTCTAAAAATTGGTAAGTATCTACACTAAATCGTTGCATATATCTCAACGGTAGATGGCATAATATTTTGTTTAAGGTTATTTTTGTGATAATTTGTTTTATGTGTCTTACGATCTTATCCACATATAAAGCAAAGTGGTCTTTTAATTAAATTTTTACATGCCTGAGAAACGTCGTTACTTAACTAAAATGTTTGTTGCATAGGTCAAATTGACTAGAATTGCACGCTAAGACGCTCCCTTCTGCACCAGGGGCCGACTCGTAAGAGGCGAGGGGGGTCAACCGACTCCCCAAATTCTAGTGAATCTTTATGAATGATTTTGGGACTACTCCTTTGAAGGTTGGAATCGCCTTTCATACATGATCTAACTGCTTGATAAAATGCCTCAAAATGGAGTTATCCCATTGTTTTGGCCCAAAATAATATTATTGGGCTGAGCGTAGGTTTATGTTCGGCCTAGAGCTTTCCTAAATGTATTGTGGGCTGCCTGGTGGTCCTAGGTCATTCAGAGAAGTTGGTCGAGTCCTATTGCAAGAAGGAGTGATTTGGATGAGTGGAAAGGTCGAAGTCCCAGTACGATAAGGGGTCTTAATGCAATATGGATTCTCGGTCGGAAATGAATACGGCTTGAAAAGGGGGTGAGTTCAAAGTCTTAATAGGAGTAGGAATGGTTGAGATGAGGTTGGATCAAAATAAGAAGTCCTAATCCGAATATGGTTTCAACTCAATCTTAAGGAGGATTTGTTGCTATAAATAGAGAGCAGAGTGCATCATTCAAGCTCTCTCCAATTCAACACACAATTGCCTTGTGCAAACCTCTCAAACATCTTGAGATTTTTATTTTCTTTTTCCGCCGACACATCTTCAATATGGATAAACAGCATTGTGAAGGCAACCGGCGAACATTTTCAGTTTGGATAAATAGCACTGTTGCCGTAGAACAACCGACCGATGAGCACCTTCAGTTTGGATAAATAGCACTGCGTCGAGCCGACTGGTTACCTATTTAAGTCTCGGTCGAGAAGGGTTTCCGAATCCTTGTTGGCAAAGGTCATCTTATTAGCCTTCTCGACGAAGTAAGGTGTTACGAGTTACGACATTTGGCACATTGAACACCGAGTGATTTTATGATTGGATACTCATAAGTGAGTTTCAGAGTTCGGCATTCTGACGGTCGAACCACATTTACCATCAAGACATACATCTCTTTTGAGTACTTATGTCCATATAGTCTAGTGTCGATTCGACGTGCTTATACTCTTATGAATATAATCAATGTGACTGAATCCGGCGCCAACGATTCGTGAACTTCACAAAACTAGCAACCTTGTCTTCGAGCTCGAGAACCCAAAGGCCGAGGCATGTTCCTTCCCCAGCCGCAATCGCAAGATCAAGAAGTCAGCAATGTGCTCAATGTGACATCAACAAATTGTACTCCTCGGCCAAGCTCAGCCGACGAGTTGGCACTCCCCGCATCAACCGAATGACGTAGTTAGCTCATTAGTCACTCGACATACGCGCCATGTAGGCTTTATAATTTTTAGGGTCAAAATTTTGGTACGCCTAATAGGACCCTGTGCTAAACCTTCGGAGTTCATGATCATCGAGAAATGATCAGTCAAAAAGAAAACAGTTATGGGAAAGTCAATGATCGACCTGCCGGTTGAAGGCCCTGGACAAGATTTGTCGCAGGTACAAAATCCTCTCATTACTGTACCACCCGAGGCTACAAGTGCGACACACCAAGAAAAATAAGTTTGTCTCGGCGGCCAGCTTCGCAACACAGAAATTCCCAACAAAAACTACAGGCATTTTCATCGAAGGAATAGTGGAAGGCTGCGACGAAGATGGTGGGGAAGGTTCTGATCTCCCGACTAGATCGTTTCTTCAAAGACGACTTGATGAGCAATCTAGGTAGGTCAAACAGTCGATTGGCTAGAAAATGAACAATTTGCTTGAAATAATACAAAGCAACGGTGATACACATACTCGATTGCTTGAACTATTGGTTAGTAAAGCCTTCAAAGATGGCCACGTCAGCCAACTTCGGTAACTTCCATTCAAGAATGTTCCACTGCAAACCGAGACAAGATCTACTCAGCTTCAACCAATTGACTTGGAAAAAAAAAAGGATCAAGCAGTAGATCAGATGGACTCGACCAGGGAGTGGAAACAGCATCCGTCAATATGACCGAGGTCCAAAAGATGATCTATTTGGCCTTAAAAAAAAGGCTTCCTAAAGTTCATCCATCTGTACTCGGCTTATATGGAGAGGTTCGAATATCCTAAAGGCTTTAAGATCCTAGATTTCAACCTTTTCGTTGGAGAATCGTCTTCATCTTCGCTAGAACATGTAGCTTGGTTCATTGCGCAATGTGGAGACGTTAATAGCGACTTCCTAACTGCAACTATTCAACTTCTCACTAACAGGTTCAGCATTTGCTTAGTGCATCAACCTCCCACCTAACTTCGTCCAAAGTTGGAAGGAACTAGTCGAAAAATTCCATGAATAATTCTATCGACTAGGGATGGAAATGTCAGTTTCATCGTTAGCTAGGATAGCTCAAGCCTCAAACAAGCCGCCAATGAAATACTTAACAAGGTTCAAGTCAGCCAGAAATTGGTGCCGAGTACCTCTCCCTGAAGTTGAATTCGTCAGAATTGCTCTAAACGGCCTAGACGTGGAATACAAAAAGAAATTCCTGGGGGAAAATATATGAGATATGTACGAACTGGCTCAACAAATTAAGCAGTATGATTATTTGCTCTGAGAGGAAAAGATCTCAAAATCCTCATCCCGAGGAACGATATACAAGAATCCTACGATTAGTTACGTATTGGCCGAAAGCGAAGATCCCCAATACACTAGTGTAGACGCTGTTGAGATAGTAATAAACAAACCATACGTTTGCAAGGCATTAGCTCAAATTAATTCCAAAGATGACAAAACCCGCTTGGCCTCTGAAGAAACGATTAAAACGTCGAAAGTCTATACTTTCGATATCACTAAGGCCAATGCAATTTTTGACCAGTTATTGTTAGCAAAGATCATACAACTTCAGCCAGGATATAACATTCCTAAGGTCAAAGAGTTGAAGGGCAAAACATATTGCAAGTACTATAACTCGAACAAGTATACCACCAACAATTGCGTCGTGTTCCGTGATGTCATTTAAAGCTGCATGGACAAAGGCAAGCTCAAATTTCCTGAGAAACAGATGGCTGTCGACGTTAACCCCTTACCCTCGACAACAATTGGCATGGTGAATGCTCATCTACCTAAAAACAATGGGAAAGGAAAGGCCGAGTTCATCCCAGCACAACATGTCCTTACGCAGAACTCTCAGCCGAGACTCAAGATTGATTTATTTTCCAATGAACAGCCCACAGAGTTTTCGGGACCAGCTATAGTTGAATCTATGTTACGCTTCAGTTTCGAAAAAGCTGATGGACCAATGGTTTTGTGTGGTCATTGTAAAACACGCGTCGTCCTAACCGAACCTAAAGAGAAAACACATTAGGCTCCAACTTCACCACAACCGTCCACGGCCGTAGCAACACCTTCAAAAAAACTCGATGTCGGCCAACACCAAAAGTTGTTCGAGAGACTTGGCCTCTGGTATGAGCAAAAGGTCCAACCTCAATCAGACGACGTCTTGACTTTGACACACCGTTTTATAATGAGGATTACTACTTACATAACTCTAGCAGTTCGAGTTCATTGGTGAGTCAAAAAACCTTTAAGATGTCTAAGCCACGCGACCAACATTGGTATAGTTACAATTCCCCTACCGACATGTATACGGCGTTATCCAAATCTCAAAAACATCACCGCCAGCGGATAGACTACATGGCCCGGTGACAGGAAGCACAAGCCAATTCGACTACTAGGTGACAACCAAAAGATACAACAGGAAGCGGCGATGATCGACCAACCCTGGCCATTATGGCCGAATTACTTCAAGAGAAAAAGTCAGTTGATTGCGACTTTGAAACCACCATTGAAGAGTCCGAAAAATGCATCAAACTCGTCTTTCGGCCTGGGGAGACAAAAGCTCACCTTGAGCATTTCAGGCAAGAAGCCAAAAACAAGCTTCCCCCTTACCCTCGTAAGAACCATTAATAAAAGTCTGGCGGAATCTACACCCTTCATTCCTCAGTGAATCCTTGGAGTACATGCGAAAATTTCACAAGAAACATTCTGCCAATGACTTGTACGGCCTACCCAAGGCATGTCAATAAGCCCTCGATCTGGTACTAACTTGTCCCAATGCTAAACAGAT